CAATACTTCAATACTTCAAGCTGGCTCTGTCAGCTAGTGGCTGGTGATTGGCTGCTCAACATGACATCATGACTAAAATTTCACATGAGCGTGATGGTTGTGCGTCACAAGTGGATTTAGTCTTTGTCCTGTTTTTAAAGCCAGATTTAAATGTATTTTGCAGTACCACTGCTGGTCAATAGGGGTAACAGAACGCTCTGTACGGTCTTTAGAAGTTGGTTTTGAAGGAATTTCCCATCATTCCTGACAAACGTGAACAGTGTCCCTCACCCTGCATTCACAGCCCATCTGGTATCTGTAGTTGAGGTTCTTCTTCTGGGACAGCGACAAATTGTCCCAGGATTCCACCAAGTCACACTGACCAATGGAAATCCTTCCATCGCTCCACATGCTCCCTGTTGGTACGAACAATTATTATTCAAATAGAACAAAAATATTAGGGATAAAAAACACAAGTGTTTGGTGATACTCTGCGCTTCCATCGGGGGCAGTGTAGGGTCTGTCGTAACATCTAACCTCTATAAAAACGCACAATCGTTACCTTACTTTAATTAAATAATTTACTTTCAATTTATATGTGCTCAGAAAACTTTTTTGTCATTTCTTTATGAGTGTTTTGTATCATTTTTATTTTATTTAAATTTTTTCATAAAAGATTTGCAGAGTTATGTGGAAACTGAGGCGTTTGAGTCTGTCGCCATCTAGTGGCACCATCTTGATGCAAAACAATGCAGAACAAAATTGAACGAATTGAAATCAGTTCCTACCATAACGTGGATAACTAACGTGTTTGATGGACCGGATTAGGGAGACAAAGGGCCCTGTCTTGGCTGCGGGCCATCATTTTTTGACACTATCTAATTTTTTTAATTTATTTTTTACTTTTTTAAACTAAGCAACTTTAATATAAAACAAAGCCATGTAAATAAACTCTTTAGTCAGATGAAGCAAAACTGGAGGTCTTCAAACAACACTGTATTTCATCAGGTGTTTGGCTCATCACCCAAAGAACACTATCAAAAAGTATATATATGGACAGTATTTGATTATTGTTGTTTACATCCCCGTGTGGTTGAACTGGGTACAGCACTAGTTCACCTGAGAGCAGATATCCGGCCTTGTTGTTGGAGTCCAGTTTGACTCCACACAGAGAGGAGAAGACTGGAGTGTAGACGTACTGAATGTCCTTGGCCTTGTCAAAACCTTTGAACATCTGGAACAAGGACGCGTCGTCAGGTCCACCAAGGTGGAGCAGCAGTAACAGTAACAGTAACAGC